CCCCCCCCCCCCCCCCCCCCCCCCTTTTTTAAACCCCACCCCAGCCTGTGCTGTAGTGGCTCGTCACCGTGGGACAGTAATCCCGCCGGATCCCCGTCCCACCCAGAAATCCGGGAAAGCCCGGGGAGGGGGATGGAATCCTGACCTGTCCAAAGGCGCTGACTCCTTTGTCCGTCCGCCCGCAGCGGTGGTAGTTGGAGGTCTGTCTGTCGTCTACCAGCCGCGTCTTCTTCAAGGCTTCGAACAGTTTCTCTTCGATGGTGTTGCTGGTGTTCTCCTGGCTGGCGAAGCCCTGGTAGCCCCAGCCCAGGTAGGCGATCTTCAGCGCCACGTGCCTGCGGCCGTAGGCGCCGAAATCAAACGGCCGGCGCTGGCGTTTCTTGGCTTTCCCGGAGGCTGAAGGAGCCTCGCTTCTCCCAGCGCCTTCCTTGTCCTCTCGGAGCTTCTCATGCAGCCGCTTCACCTCCTCTTCCAGCTCCTGCACCCTCCTCAGGAGCCGCTCCCGGTCGGTCGCCGCGCTCCCCTCGGCCATAGCCGCTTGCCTCGGAGCCTCAGTTAGTTGCCGGTAGCTCCTCGGGCTCTGCAGAAAAAGAAGGAAATCGGGGGGGTTTCCATTTTTATGTGGATTTTATTACACCTAGAGGTAAAGTAATTGTTACCCATGGAATAATTCTTTATTTTTAACCCTTCGGCGTTCCTAGCGGAGCACGGGAAGGGCCAAGAGGGCTCAGCTCGGACGGCTTCATCTTACTCAAGTCTTTTTATTTTATTTTTTTGGCACTTTTTTAATCGCCCCTCTCCCCCCCAGCCGCCGCCGCGGGACGGGATCCGCTCCGTCAGCACGTTCCCAGTTAGCCTTTTGCTCTCACCGCGGAGCCCTTTCCATTTTCGCACCCCGCTCAGCCAGCATCAACACTTCAGACAGCCCGCTAACGCCTGCCACTCATCTCGCCGCGCCATCTGCTCCGACATTTCGTAACGGCGCGGTTAAAACTTGCATATTTTTTTTTTTCCAACCCGCTTCACGGCGTAAAGATACCCCGAACCCGCGCAGCGAGTGGAAACCGCGTCCGCATCCCCCTTTTTTTTTTGCCGCAGGTCTCGAGTTTTACTAAAACCAGGCTCAAACAGCCTTTGGGCTTTGACGGCCGACATCTAAACGCTCCGCGCTGAGCCTGACTTCTGCAGCAGAGGAAAAAAATACCCTCTCGGATGTCCCTAGATTAAATCACGACTCGATATCGTGTTTTTAAAAGAAGAAAAAGGGGAAAATCATTAATACCTCCGCCCGGCGCTTACAAATCCGCCCTGTGTTTGTCCATCGTCCCGTTAGTGCTTTATATATA